GCAAGGTGTCGATGGTCGTCTTTTGGACAACTGTCAAGTCAGCAGTCTTCCCCATGATTGTGTAGCCTATAGAACTAGACTGAAAGACCATTTAAAGGCTTTTGCAGGTGGTTTGAGTTAATTAGCTGATTAGAGTGTGGCACCAGGGGCCATCAATTTTGAACCTTTTCACAATATTCTAATTTTCTGATATGATGAATTTGAGATTTTCATTTGTTGTCATTTGTAATCATCAAAATTAAACAAAATAAACATCTGAAATATATGAGTTTGTATGTAATGTATGAATATAATATACAAGTTTCACTTTTTAAATGGAATTACTGAAATCAATCTACTTTTTCATGATATTCTAATTTTATGACCAGCACCTGTAGATAAGTCATTTTTTCTTAAAATAAGTGCATTTCTTCTTGAATTGAGGAGGTAAAAGAGACATTCTGCCAATGGAACAAGACAATTTACACTTAAAATAAGAAAACACAATAGCATCCTCTTATTTCAAGTGCATATTATCTAATTATCTTATTTCAAGAGTAAAATTACTCATTCCATTGGCAAACTATCTCATTTACCTACTCAAATTAAGAGTGAATACACTTAATTTAGGAAATTTTTACCTATTCTACTTCGTTTTTGCAGTGTTGTTGTTGTGTGGATCTGTTTTAATTAACCAAACCACTCAGAGATGGATGTGCAAATAAAACTATTTAAACATGGACCTACCCTCTCAGCTTGACCTTCATCTGAACCGGATCTGCGTTAGATTAAAATCACGCGCTACCGTGCTTTACCTTAGCCAGGTAGACATAAAAGAATTTCCCCCTTTTCTGTTTGATACCAGCGGGGAGTTTTCTGTGGTTCCGCTCAATCATTCAATTAACAGCCCGAGAAGTAGTTAATGGAGCCGGAAAACGGGTGGAGCTGAAGGTTAGAGCCAGTTATCGGTTTAAAGGATGAGGCGCGTCTGCTGCTTCCAGCCTCCTCCTGGTCTGAGGCGATCTCTGCTGGCGGCGGAGGAGCGCTGCATCATCCTGGACCAAAACCAGCATGGAAACCCTCCATCTAATGTTTGCTCTAACTGTCCAAATAAAATTCACAAAATTTCTAATTGTTCGTGTTTGATTTATTCTGTCCAGAGATAAACCATTTTTAGATCCAGGATGGAAATATGAAATACGGATTGCTTTGAAATACAGAAATAAAACTTTATTTGCATTAATTTGATGAGACACTTTGGGGGGAAACGTAGCAGCAGCTGAAGACAAACTGGCTGTTCCTCTTCGCGTCTGATGGAGAAAGTTATTACTGCACCATTCTTTCTATCGAACATATTATTAGATGGGTGATTATCGGCCTTTTTGTTATTCAAATAGAAACTGTCGCTTCTTCCCCTGGTGTGTGGCCTGATGAGCCCCATCCAGCCTGAACTCAGAGGAGGAAGTTTGTTGTTTGTCTTACACCCTCCTCCTCGCACCTCATTCGGAAATAGAGGACACTTCTAAAACGCAGCCAACTGTTAATAGCTCTCCCCCATGTTAGCGAGCTAAACAAATCACTGTTGATGTGTGCGGGCTGCTGGAAGCTTTCTCTCCGCTTTGCGCATGCGCGGGGAGCCCTTTTGCTTCTTGCTCGGCTCGAGCCACGTCTGCTGACCTCGCGGTGACTCTTCCTTCTTTCATTATTCATGAGTCTTGACCGGATCGCTCACCCCTCTCCGTGTCCAAAGGCAACGCTGCTTATCTTACGGGCCTCAGAGCGCGCGAGCTGGGACGTTAACCAATTAACAAAACCTTGACAAACGCAGAGGAAACGCAGAACTGAAGCAGGGAGGAGATTAAGGTCACAAACAGTGGATATGCAGGATGAACATTTAGCATCGATCTGCAGCAAATATCCCCAATAAGAAGCTTCCCATGCTTCATCTACCCGTTTTAGCTCTCAGGGCCTAAAGCAATTAAACGCACCATGCTGCATCCCACAGGGAGACCGCAGCTCTCCTTTACACACAGAAAAACACGCCTTCTGCAAAGCTCGGCAATAAAAGGTCAGCTTCATTACTTTCTCATCCCACTCGTCATCGCCAACAGCCAAAGTGCAAAGACAAACCTATCCGGTCTGACAGTCTTAAACCAGCAGCAAGCCCGTACACATAACGCACATCAAGAAAAGGCTGGAGCTGCCCTGTGTACATAAAGGAGAAACCGAACACACACAGCAAAAACAAAGGAGCCCACAGAACCGCGATGCCTCCAATCCTCCCAGACTGGAAACACATACATGACCTATATATCTCTGCCTGGCTGAAGGCCCCGAGGAGCTGAATGTGTGAGGAGAGCAGTGTGGGAGGAAAGGGGCCGCAGGGGCCACGGACCGCGTTCCTGTATCATCATTAAAGGGAGGAAGTTGATGAAAAATGGTATAGGGAGTTTTTTTTTTTTTTTTTTGCCTTCCTGTTTACTGAGCTGAACTTCCTCAAGGACCGAGACCATCCCGCAAACCTGCTGCGAACTGCGATACATCACTGCTCAGTGGGCCCCTAACGGTCCCACCGAAACAGAAGAGCCTCAAACAGGAATAAGGATCCTCCATGGATTCAGAACAGGGATTCATTCAGTAATGCTGAGTATTTGTAGAACTGTAGTCATATAGAAATGTACACTGGAAAAAATCTAAATCTAGATAAGTCAGTTTTTCTTAAAACAAGTGAATTGGTTCTTGAATTGAGGAGGTAAACGACATTTAGCCAATGGAACAAGAAGATTTACGCTTAAAATAAGAAAACACAGTTGCATTGTCTTATTTCAAGTGCATTTTATCTAATTATCTTATTTCATTGGCAAACTATCTTATTTACCTACTCAAATTAAGGGGAAATACACTTAATTTAAGAATTTTTTTACTTATTTCTAGGTTGTTTTTCCAGTGTAGAAGAAACAAGACTGTTGGTCTGAAAGCCACAGGAGGCAGCACAAAGGCAAACAAAAGTCACATCAAAATAAACTAAATGAAGTAAGACTAAGGCCATGATCAGGATCACCTGGTTGAATAATTGCTTCATAGATTTATTTAGTATTAAACTACACTTCCGGGTTCAAATGTCTCACACACTGCAAAAAATTGAATCTCAAAAAGTCTTTTTTTTTCTTAAAATAAGTTTTTTTTTCTTTTAATTGAGGAGATAAGCGAGACATTTTGCCAATAGATCAGGACAACTGGCATTTAAGATAAGAGAAAACAAATGCATCATCTTATTTCAAGTGCATATGATACAATCATCTTATTTTAAGAGTATAAATATTCATTCCACTGGCAAATAAACTTATTCACCTGAATACATTTAAAATTCTCTAACTTCTTAAATGAAATACACTTAATTTAAGAAATGTTTTACTTATTTCTGGGTCGTTTTTGCAGTGCAGCATTGCTGAGATCAACACACACACACGCATAGAAAAACAAAAGCATTTTTCTACATATAAATATGTTTGTTGCTTCTCTCAAGTCGGTTTTTGTTCTACTTTTTTGTAGGAAGAGTTTAGGTCGGGCTATGCAGATTTAAAATCCGGATGCAACTCGGACTCTCCTATTATTAGGTCGTCATCAGCGCCACTGCTAGTCTGGTTACCTGACAGATTTTTAGTCGCATGTAAGACTGTGAGAAATGGTCTAAAACTGACCGGGGATCAGAAGTGTTTCTGAAGGCTGAAGGCCTTTAGCTACATGGCTTCCTTCACTCCTTTCTCGTCCCCTTAGTGACCAACATGTTCATATTTGATAGATTAAGAAAATAAGTGGATGAGAGAGGAATGAAGGAAGACATTTAAGTTAGACCTAAACTTTCCACCAGTTTCCAGCCTGTTTAGGATTAAAGTAAAACAGTGGACTGAAAGTAAGAAATCAACAAAGCAACAACAACCAGCATGTAATCCAGTTCCAGATGGGATCTGATGCACAGAAGAAAGTTTGACAACAATTTCCTGATTCCATTTCTGTTATAATATAATTATTTAAATTATGCTCCACCTTCAGACGGTGGGAACTCCTGTTAGATTTAGCTTAATTATAGAGGATGATGCAAATTGCTTGATTTTTTTTGTCTTTCAATATTCCAACAACCTTTTTGGGATAGGGTTTGATAAATTCTACACAAAATATGATTTATTTTGTGTAGAATTAATCGTAACACCCCCCCCCCCCCCCCCCTTCCCAGCACACTCACACACATCACACACACACAACTTTGCAATTCCATACATATTAAGACTTTTTACTGACCTACATTTATTTTAGCTTTTGCCTTTTACCAAATCCTGACATTTAAGTTTATCTCCAAAAATAAACCCTAAAATAAAGTTACTTCTAAATCTAAACTGACTCCCTGACATTAAAAAGATGATCCATCAGATTAGGACCAGCCTTTGGACCCCACAAGTTAATTTAAAAATATATATATTATTATATATTTTTACGAGTCTGAACTTTAAAAATATAGCTAAAAAAAATGTTTTCCTTTCCTTTTTTCTGACATAAACAGCAGTCCTCTTAAACCAACATTTTATGTTCTGTTTCACTTTCCAACCAGATTTTTTTTCACTGAATGGTGGGATAATAAACTCCCGCATATAAACTTTGGAATTCGCTATATAACTATATTACAATGAGAACAAGCAGAAGAATCGGAGCAGTCGGTGGGAGTCACGGCATGCCCGGCTGTGCGCCATCTTTCATGGACACGCTGTAAAGCCGCGCAGTGTTTGCGCTTTTAACGGCGCTCCAACATGTTCCACCGGTGGCGCAGCACCGCCGCGCGGCCTTCAGCAGCAGAAGGACCAGAGCTGCTCACCGCTCCCTACTAGAGGACCACTCACACTCAATGAGTGACACGTTAATTGCACCCCCCTCCCCACCCCCCCACCTCACACACACACACACACTTCAGCCAAACCGCCCCTGTTTCTACTTAGCTCCCACTTACCGGGAGCCCTTCTTCCACTTACTGTGCCTGCTGCCTGTCCTTCGCCTGCCTCCAGACTCCTCAGCGGAACACAGCGGAGATCTCCGGGCTCCAAGTGCCAACCTGAGCAGGAACAGCTGCCGCTAATAGTGGCCTGTTCTCTCTCTATTTCCCTTTCTCTCTCTCTCTCTCTCCGTCTCACGCACACATAAACGCACACACCGCTTCTCCCGCTCCGTCTCTGTTTTACTGACCCTTTTAGAATCCACACGAAGCCGTTAAACCGTCACTTGCTTTCTAGAATGTGAAATACATTGTCAACTCCCCTAAACCATAAAACTAACTTTATGGACCCCACGTGACCAGAGGAGAGCCAGTGAGAGGAATCAAAACAGATTTTTACGATCCAACTTGGAGATAAAACCCCTCATCTGTTTGACACGTAAATGTCAAAGCTGCCTCCATTTTTCAGTTTGGCCCAAAGCAGGAAGAGAGTTTAGTTTAAAAATCTATACATGGCTTTAAAACAGCAGCCCACACACAGCACGCAAGAAGGGCCGGGAGGTTATGGCCGGATGAGGCTCGGAGAAGGACCCGTGTGGCCCGCGCGTAACGCGGGGAGTTTACAGGGAAACAGTGTCAGCAGCCGGTGAGTTTAAAAGTTCATTCGGTTGTTTACAAGCAGAGATAATCAGGAGACAATAACTGGATTTTCTGGAAGCTGCTTCCGTTCGACGCGGAAAGGACAGAAACGTGACGCATTTGACCACCGATGGTCATTTGTTTTTAGGTAGAAAACTGCACTTAATTTGGCCTTTATTTTTTTCTTGCTTTTTTGTTTAACTGATCAGGTTTGTGCTTAAATGTCGCCTTTATCCTTTGAGCTTTAGATATTTCTAGGCTCAGGTTCCAGACAGGCCTGCGAGATACACGAATAATTTTTGGAGAACATACTTTTTTTCTTCATATAAGCTTCACTCCCATATAAGCTTCTTTAAATATGGAGTATTTTTTCATGCATTTTTAAGCTCCTGTAGCTGAATAATGTGTTAAGCTCTACAAAAAAAATCCAGTTTTCCTCTGTGAACAGCTGCGTCATGCTGTCCACTCCGCTTTACCGTGAGAAACTTTATTCATAATTATGTTTCACTCAAATCCGAAACAGTTACAAAAAGCTCACTGACAGAAAGTTTACAAGGACACAATACCGCACAGCTCTCATTCACCCACGCGCTCACACAAACGCGACCACAACCGTCAAAACGTCACCATATGTGTGTGTGTGTGTGTGTACATCAGATGTGACACATTCAACAAATAATCACAACAACGATATATTTCGGTCGGTTACACAGAAACAAGGGACGGACAGAGACACGAAGGCCGCTCGATTGGTTCACAAACACACGCGCACTTTTTTTTAGCACGACCTCATTCACAAACACGCAAACATTTCCCCTTCTTCCACAGTAAAAGTGAGTTCAGGTTTCAATGGTGCTTGTAACAACACGGTGAGAGGACGGGGAAGGGATGGGGGGGTTAAGCAGGGAGGGGCTGAGCTTCACTGGATGGAAATAACTTAAGAGGATGACTGAATACAAAAGGAAAATATCACACTAAATATTCACACATTGGACACTAGATAATAGACAGGCAGCCGGAAAGTAAAACATATATATATATATATATATATATATATATATATATATATATATATATATATATATATATATATATATATATATATATATATATATATATATATATATATATAAATAGATGTGTACATATATATATACATCTATTTATCTCTGTATATATGTATATCTATGTATATATAGATATATTAAATATCTATATGAAGATAAAGAGATATTTATAGATGGATAGATAGTACCAGCCTTGTTTTTTCTGCTGCCCTCACTAACAGACGTAAAGGACACGAATAAAAAGTGCTGAACTGAACATCACAGCTACTAACTGGAGAACAAACATTGTACTATGAATCAAAGATGGAATCCGATTCATCCTGCCACTATTTTCTTCATCGTCCTCTATTTATTCCATTTCCACCAGCCTTCTTCTTTACTTTGTGTTTTTCATCATGTTTTTCTTTTTTTCCTCTCCCTTGGACACCTCTTTGCGCTTTTGTCCAGTTTGCCTCCCAGACAAACACGAAGCTGAAGGAGCAGCTTCCCCTTCCTCCTAGGGTTGGTAGGCACCGCCGGCCGGAGCCAGACTCATACTTTTAAGCTTGTTGTCCTTCTTCCACTTCATTCTCCGGTTCTGGAACCAGATCTTGATCTGTCGTTCCGTGAGGCAGAGCGCGTGAGCAATCTCGATGCGCCGCCGCCGCGTGAGGTACCGGTTGAAGTGGAACTCCTTCTCCAGCTCCAGAGTCTGATAGCGGGTGTAGGCTGTCCGCGCCCTTTTCCCGTCCGGGCCCGTCATATCTGAGGGGTTTGGAAGCAACACAAGGCTGTTAGGACAGAGGGCCCCATGTGTGGCACAACAAACGGCCATCATGGCACAAAATGTGGGGGTTAATGTGCCACAAAAATAAAAAATAAAACATTAGAAGCATCATTCCCTTTAGCTCCTTTGCTTTACATCATAGAAGTCTGTTCTGCCTCTAACATCGTAGCTACAGGTGTTTTACTAAACCTGACGCGTGGTGAATTTGGGTAATATTTTTTATTAAATAAAAGCAAATAAAATATAGCTTTTTTATCACTAGATTCTTAAGGTTTGCCTTTTTAACCCCCTTCCCCCCATCCTTTTAAACATCACCCTCACCTAAACATCCCAGCCTTCAGGTCCCTTCCAGGATTTATTGCCTCGTCCTCTGCCTCACCTCTTTAATAAAGTTTCCACACCTAATAAAGCTTGACTTTTCAAAGAAGCAGCAACCTCCAAAGCCTGTAGAGCCTTTCATTCTTTCCCTCCCTGCTGCTTTTTTCTTCCCACCCGGTCCATGTGTGCTCCCCCAGTCTGCTGGGCTTTGCAGTCCAGTTTTGCTCACCTTTGGCAGATTTACGTGGCTTTTGTGAGATTTTAAAAAAAGGCACAACGATAGAGGAGAGAATAATCCAAGCAGTGCCTCTGAGGTTTGCCTTCTCAAACTGCTACATTTCATGACGACTGGATTTTCAGATATCAGAATTAAATCTATAACATCACATCTCAAAATAAAGACACCAGCTAAAACGTTCCGCCTTTTATCTTCTAAATTTTCTTTCTAAGTTAAACGTTTTGCTAAATAACAGAACAGACAACACGATAAACTGCTGGGTTTATTCAGATAATATAAAGGCTTTGATGCTTTTTCTACATCTTTCCATGTGGATAGAGAGCTTCCATAAATAAGCATAAGAATCTATTTCCACATCAACTTCTTCTACATAAGTAGATGAAAGTATTTAGCTTAAAGTTTACACCTCTGAATTAAAATGTGTGTATTTGCCGAGAGCCAGAATGTACCATGGCTTATGTGCAGTTTTCTCATCCAGGGGAAAATCTGAGGTGCGTGCGCGTCACTGCCCCTGGTGCCAGCAGCTGAGCCCGCCGGGTCGCCTTCCTGCTTCTCAGCTGCTCTGGATCGCGCCGGTGAATCATCCCCACGGACGGCATCTCTGCAGTCCAGCAGGTCCTCGCTGTCTCCCGAAGCGTCTTCAAGCTCCGTGAAGCGCGGCGTCGTGCCGCCAGCCGCGGCGGACAGGTTTGGAGAGCTGAGGTTGCTGCTTCCTGGTCGCTCTGAGGTGGGAGATCTCTGCGCGCCCGGCTTGCTGTTCTCACGGCCGCCTGTCAGGAGAGAACTCCCCCCGGAGGAGAGGGAGCAACTGGCCGGCTGTCTGAAGCCGAAACCCCTGGAGAACTCAACCGCCGAGCCTCCCCCGAACTGTCCTCCGGTGCTCGCGGCTCGGTCCCCCCCCCCCTCCTCGGCTGGATACGGTCAGATCCATGCCGCTGTAGCCGTAGCCATAGGAGCCCGTCGCATGGTGCATGGTGGCGGAGGAGGAGTCCCTGAACGTCCCGCTGTTCATTGCGCCGCTGCTGGCTCCATAATTTAGCAGCTGATAGTCGGGACCGTTCGAGAACGAGTTTACAAAGTAGGAACTCATTTAGTTGTTTTACAGAGTTACAGGCAAACAGCTGAGTTGTAAAGGGGGGGGTGTTGGAGGGGGGGGTGGGCCTGATTTGTTAGATTTCTCCCGGTCGTTACAACCCTGGTACTTTCAACGATTTATGATGTATTAGTGAATTATGGCGTTGCACTGTACTTCGTTTTTAGCTTTGTATGCGCCGTCCAAATAGGGGGGTGGGGTGTTGGATGTAGATGTGTGTGTGTGTGTGTGTGTGTGTGTCATGGGGGAGGTGAGGGAGGAGACGGAGAGGGAGGGGCCGCGATCATGTGACTGTTTTGCAGACCACTCGTAAATTCTCGCCGATGACTTCGTGGAGGTAATTCATGCTCTGAGGTTTCTAATGATAAAGGCTTGAGCCTCATTCCCTCCCCCTCTTCATGCTGCCTTTTTCGGTTGCCAGCAATGTCGGCTGGTGAATGAAGAGCGCCACCTACTGCAAATATGATTCACTGCACACATAGGGAGGACAGGGAGAAGGGCAGAGAGTGTTGGCACTTTGAAATGGGATTTATATAAAACAGTCAATTTCTCCTACATGTGCCCCCCCCCCCTCCCAGGCTGTACCCATGCTCGATCATCCATGCACCGCCGAACACATTTAGGGAGGGAGCAAATTAGAAAGCGGAGACCATGCACATACAGAATGATAATAAAAACAAGAATCTGCCTTCCACCTTCGGCTCACATTCCAATCAGAAGCTTCCCTCTGCAGGAGCGGAAACCGAGATCTGTGTAAGAAAAACTGCTCTAATGATGAAATGGGAGTAACACACCTGATAGTAAGGAGAATTATAAAAGTGCAGATGAAGCAAAGAATAAATACCCAACATCAGAAGTAAGGAAGGAGAGTGTGAGTTTCATCAATGGATGCAATCAGAGTAATTAAAGAATCTCCTCAATTTACCACCAAATAAAGCAACGAAAGCAACTTTTTGGAGTATAAAGAAGCAGCAGACAATAACAAACCAGCTCATCTTTGGTTTTTATACTTTCCAGGTTGTTTTTTTTTTTTTTTTTTACTGGCTACCTTCTCTCTGGTTTCCTCTGCTTTCCCCTCAACTGCAGTGGTGGAATGTTCAATGTGATCTGTAGCCAAACAGGGTAGAAATCTGCTGATTTATGATTTGTTGATTCCTGGGTTGGGATGCATTGCAGGCCAGGGTGCCCCAGAGCGAGCATGCTTTGATACAACACTCACACACTCAGAGCCAGAGGAAGATCACGAATTCATTTTTGTTTGTTTGTTTAAATAGATATTAATCGGATAGATTCTGTGTGTCTATGTCTCAGGCTGCATTCCTTTACTTAACAGAGTTAGAATTAAAATAAGGCAATAATGACCAAACCTCCACAATAATAATAATCATACCAGCAATTAAAAAAGCTACGAATTCAATTTACGTCATATATCGTAGAATTAAAATTAGAAACAAAAACTGAGATTCAGGAAAAAACCCAAAGAAGAATTTCCAGTTTATATTTCCACCATTGCGCAGGTCGTCTCTGCTCACTTTAAGCTCATCGTTTCGATCTTCCAATGAGAAACAATTTGGGAAACGATTTATCCAAAGAAAATAAAAATTCGTATCTAAAAACCTCAAATTTTCCTTTTTAGCCTGAAATTAAACCTTTATTAAACATTCTGTGACTTTTATTGAAATCCATCACTTCCGAACGCTGAATAATATGGAAGTATATTACTTTTTTTTTACTTAAAAAACGACATTAACAAAAAAAGGTTTTTAATTAGTTTAAAATGAGAATTTTTGTTTGTCGATGCACCTTCAACGTTTCTTTCTCAGTGTGCGCATTATGAGCCATCCGTTAAATAAACGACTTTTGCCATAAATCTCTGTATATGTATGTATATGGTTCCATTACTACATCCTTCATTGGTCATAATCTTGTTTGATTAGATAACTAAGTTTTTATCGGAGTTAATGAATAGAATGAGGTTAGTAATTGAAGGCATGCTGGTTTTGTTAATGTCCTGTTTGGTTTCCCAGCTCTAATAAACACTCCGCCATTTTTCTGAGGCTGCCTCACTTCAGCTCGGCTCGTCGGTAACTCCGGGGACAAGCAGAGTTCAAAAGGTCACCAGGACATTGTCCACTTTGTCTGGGTGAAGAGAGTGTGTGTGTGTGCAACATGTCTGACCGGCCTGGTCGAGGACAGGTCAACTTTCTCTGCGCGGCTCTGCGGCTCATTCATTATTTCAGGCCGCTTTCACTTCCCCCGCGATCACTGCACCTAATTGGCCCCGGACCCCCGGCCTCCAGGCCCCTGACAGCCACCGAACCACCGCAGCTCGTGCCTCGAGTGCCGCATGTTTCACACTTACATAAAAAAGGCTAAAAGGTTTACGAGTCTCTGGTGCAAACGGACATAAATCGCTGAATCACCAAAAAAAAAAAAAAAAAAAAAAAAAACTGTTTTCTGTGTTTGAAAGAAAAGGGCCAACATTTCATCATACACTTCTTTAAAGTTTATTGTACATTTCTCATAGGTAGTATACGTACTGGACAAAAAGAAAACAAAAAAACCCCACTAAAATAAACCTACAAATTCCATCAAATGTACACTCTTCTTAAGGTGTTTGGGTAGTTTGGAGAACATCAGTAGGTCAACACCTCAACGCGCTTTTCTTTAGATCTAAGTGGGAAAATCAGAGCTAAAAACAACATTTAAGACCCTTTAAAACAGAAACATATTTTCACATTACAAATGATTCATCCCCTTTATCTAAATCTGTATTTTAGCTACAATATGTACAGCGAACCCACTCCCCTTTCCTCCCCTGTTGGTTTGGTATGTGTGGAACACAAGATAGGCCTACAACTCATTATAACAAAAACAAGAAAGAAACAAAAAAACGAGGAAGTGTTTCCTTCAAAGCAAGTGCTTAAAAAAATACTTAAAAATCATACAAACAAAACAGCTTCAGTAAGAATTTAGGTAGTTACGTTGGAATGCTGTAAATGAGCTCTAGTTTCTGAGCGTCTTATAACCTTCATATGCTCTGCGCCTTTCAGGATAAATCTACACATCCTGAAACTTTATTATTATGCAGAATTTCCATTAAAAACAGGCCAATTTTTATACATATACATACACACTTAGCATGTAGTTTTTTATGTCTATTTCTTTCAATTTTTCATTGCTTTTATCAAGTTTTATTCCTCCGCATATTTAGCATTTATGGTTTAGGAGAATGCATTTTCTCTTTCAAATGTTTTGGGAATAAAAAAAACTTTTAAATATAAGTCAATAGAGGTGAGTTAAAGTTACGTTGTTTTTTCCCAGAATCATTAAATGCCGTGAGTTCTAGGAGACCCGGACCCTGGAGAGAAGTGAAGGAGAAAAGCATCTCAGTTCCTCCTACACGGAAATGAAAGAAGCAGTGGGCTCACGACACGTCCACACCTATCAACCAGATTTGGAATAACCAGCATGGATTTCCTTTCATCCTTCTCCTCTTTTTTTAATGTCTTCGTCATCGCTTCGCTTTCACTCCGTCCGTTTCTCTTCCTCCTCTGTACCGTTTACCGTGGAAGAGGAGGAAGACGATGAGTTAATCAGCTTGTTCTCCTTCTTCCACTTCATCCTCCGGTTCTGGAACCAGATTTTAATCTGGCGCTCCGTGAGGCAGAGCGCGTGCGCAATTTCGATGCGCCGTCGCCGCGTGAGGTACCGGTTAAAGTGGAATTCCTTCTCCAGCTCCAGGGTTTGGTAGCGAGTGTAGGTCTGCCGGCCGCGTCTCCCCGGGCTGCCGAAGGTCCCTGAGAGATAAGGAGAGACGGAGTCAGGTGAGGGGGGGTGGACCCAGAACTAGGGTTCAATTTGATCCTTTCTCTTGATCCTGATTCAGGATCAACACAGTTATAAAAGTATTAATAACAATCACAAGAAGAAATGTAAAAAAACAAAATTTTTTCCCAAAAGTCCTCAAGATCAAGAGGTTTATTTTTCTAAGATCATAGAAATGTATTTTTTCATTATTTATTCATTAGTTTGGTTATTTTATTTGTTTGCTTTTAGTTTAGCAGATCCAGATTCTGGATTGACCAGAAACTGAAACTTAATAAAATGACCACATTAATAACAATAATAACAATAACATTCCAGCGTAGTATAATTAGACATTATCAGTCCCGTTATTTTTCTCTAACGTTTCGTATAACATGTAATATTTTAATCTATTTTATTCTATTTTTAATATTTTTTTCTATCTCTCCCACCTTTGAAACACCTTGACAAATTTTTTCACCTCAGCATAAGTTAAATAAATAATCAAACAGGCAATTGTTTTCTTATTAATGCCAATCTATAGATTGCAGCACAACAGAGTAAATTTATTTCCAATTTTTACAGTGAAAAATAAGACATTAAAACCGTTCTGTTTTAAGCTGTCTCTGTTTGCTTCAGTTTTAATGGATTCCTCTAGTCTAATAACTGTCTGATTTTGGAAAAGTCAGCACAGAGTGCGCGGAAAATAAAATCTAATAAAGTGCAGGGTTTGTTTTGAGAAAATTGCGTAATTTCTTCAAAGCTGCTATTATATATCCAACAGCAGCAGGAGGATCTGTTTTCTTACAGATTTCAAAGAGAATCATTGAAGATCATAACGGAGACAAACCGAGGCAACATGTTTGTGTTGCTGCTGTTTCTCTCTGACAGCAGCGCCAGGCAGACTTTGCTTTTAGCCCAGCCGTCCCTCCTCGGCAGCTGCGTCAGTCAGTAGGTCACACAGTAACTGCGGCTTTCAGCCAAACAAACCAGTTTTATGACGGACAATAAAACACTAAACCCTTGACTGACTGGTAAGCCAACAAACGAGCTTTATAACGCAGCTCCAGTCAGAGGAGGGGGGGGAGAGAGGACGGCTGACAGAGGAAACAAAACCTCAGTTGAAAAAGGAAGAAGGACGCACTCACCGTTACACGCGTTCATCCGCTGCATCCACGGATAAATGGGAGTTGGCACCGTTTGTTTGTCATCCATCGCTTCTCCAAAGAGTCCCTTTCCTCCAAGACCGGCGCACTCCACTTTGCGGTGCATGCCGTCCTGACTCAGGACGAGCTGGTGTTCGTCCAGACCGCACGGATGGTCCTTGTCTCGGTAGAAGTTCGTGGCCGCCGTCGCAGCCGCGGCTGCCGCTGTGGCGTAGTCGCATGCACCGGGTCCGTTAGCGCCTCCAACCGCCAAGCCAGCCGCCCGGTGCCCACCGTACGCTCCGTTCGCAGCCTGCTGATAGAAGTTGGAGGCTGGGTAAGGCTTCTCCTGGTGAGCACTGTACGCCACCGCCGCGGCCGCAGTCACCGCCGCCGCCCCCTGGTAGTGTCGGAGGGGGTGGTCGGCGTATCCCGATGAATACAGGGAGATCTGACCGAGGAAGGGCTCTGCCGACGCCGCTTGGCCTCCTCCAGTCGTTCCCGGTATCACCGGGAACGACGAGTTTACAAAATAGGAACTCATTGGTAAAAAAAAAAAAAAAAAAAAAAAAAGTGGGAAGGAGAAGAAGGAGGAGAAGAAGAGGAGAGGGGAGTACAGGAGGGCACTAACAAACACAACAACAGTGATAACGCGATGAAGAAGAAGAAGGAGGAGTGGACCGAGGCTAACGGTTCCTCCCGTCCTCCTTCCTCTGCCTTCCCTGCTGCACTTTATGATTTGTTGTGTTTTATAGCCGCAGACCGAGCGGCTGCTGCTGCTGCTGCTATCAGGGACTTTATCGCAGACTGGGAGGAGGGGTGAGGAGGGTGAAGTCGGGGTGGCTGGGTGCCAGTGCTGGGCAGTGTTGGTTGGGGGCTCGGTAGCAAACAGTCCGTGTGTGTGTTACAGGAATTGGGTGAGGAACATAGGGGGGAGTCAGAGGGGGGAGTCAGAGACCAGCTGACCTAAGGCTGTCCAATGGGAAACTCCGTGCCTGGCATTAGTTTGCCTCAATTTTCCTTTTCGCTGGAGAGACGGGGGGGGGGGGGGGGGGGGGGGGGGGGGTCTGGGAACCGCCCCCCCCCTTCTTATTTCCCCTTCTCCAATCTCCAGCTTTCCTCCCTTTCTAATTGTCATTTCATTTCTCTTTCTAATCTTCTCGCGGCTCCCGTTGAGATTGCGCAATCACAGCGGAATTCTCCGCGCGTTAAATTGATTGTTTCTCTTCTCGCGCGACGTCCTTCATCCGATGTTGGACTCATAAGATCTGCGCGCGTGCACGCGTGCGTGTGCGCGTTTGAGTTGCCGCTGCACCACCAGGGGACACTGAGCGCATATCCTTTTGCACTGTGTGGATAACAGCCAACAGATCGAGTTCAAATTAATTTGTTGAGAGAACATAACATGCAGCAGGGTGTGTGTGTGTGTGTGTGTGTGTGTGGGGGGGGGTGTTCTGAGCGACCTGGATGTAGAACCCAGGCTCTTATAATCTAGATGTTTACATGTTTGTTATTTTCTGGGTTTCATTTACATCCCGCTACGTGTGTGTCCTCTTCCACAGGCATTCTGGGTAATCTGTTCCCCAATCTTGGCATCATTTAATGTCTGCCTCTGTGATCTTCTACTGTCTAAATGCCTCATTGTTAAAAAAAAACCCTCCGCTGGAGTTTTGAGGTTTGTTTGGGGGTGATCAATGTGTGCCGTGAATTATTATTTTCCTTTGCTGTCAGACTGATTAGTCTGAAAGGTAAGAGGAGAAGAAGAAAAGAAACAGTCCCGAAAAAACCCAATTTTTTTCTGTTTCAATGACACTGATTGGGCCTGAAAGCCCTTCCACTGCCAACGAATCAGGAATTGACCTCTATGTGTCTGAAGGAGGAGGATATACAAACCACTGAATTCAATAATTAGTTTAGTTTCCATGTTAAACGAGGATAAACATAAAATGTAAACACGCGAGGAATAAAAGGTTGCATTTTTATCACTCTATAGGAGCAACAATGAAAAATTATAAGTTTAATTATTTTTGATATTGTTTATATTGACCACTGGTTAACTTTTAGAATCCAATCCTGCTTCAGGATCCTGATTAAATGAAAATGTAAATATAACAATGATGGAAGATGATATTTGTATCAAAGCTTTACATAAAAAAAACACTCGCCCACAGTCATATAGGCCTACACCGCTCATTTTATTCCTAAAAAAGAAAGAAAGAGTTTCACTTTAATTTTCCCATATTAAACATTCCAGAATTCAAAAAAACAAAATAATATTAATTGAATAAAAACATCTAAAAGCACCTTCATTCTGGTCCTAGTGTTAAATGTCCTTATTTTTTTGCAGGAGGAAACGTTGAATCATATTTTTGTTGAATGTTTTAGATTGAATCTTCCCTTTGTTCATTTGGATGGTCTGTTAAGTTGCTTTTTCTCTAGATGTATCTCTATTCGTGCACAGAACAAATATGTTCATGGGCTTTTAAACTTCCTTTCTGGGATGGCAAAACTAGCAATATGGATATCAGGGAAGAACAAAATGAATGGTCATCAAAACTGGTAATTGCTCCTGTTCGAGTAGAATTTGAGGTTTATAAGTTGACAGAGAGAAAGAGGCGTTAATGGTGGAAAGAAAGAAAGAAAGAAAGAAAGAAAGAAAGAAAGAAAGAAAGAAAGAAAGAAAGAAAGAAAGAAAGAAAGAAAGAAAGAAAGAAAGAAAGAAAGAAAGAAAGAAAGAAAGAAAGAAAGAAAGAAAGAAAGAAAGAAAGAAAGAAAGAAAGAAAGAAAGAAAGAAAGCTCTTTCCAAGCCAACTGTGTGTCAGTGAGGTTGTAAAATAACCGCAGCCATAAATAAATCCTCTTCTCTGTGTCTCTCTTTGTTTCCTCCACAGGCTGCGGCTTGTCCCCATGGCCAAACTACAGACCGTCCGACTGATAAATCGACACAAAGACTCTATTTTTGCTTTTACTTTGCCCTCCCACCCAATGCATTCCAAAAAAGCTCAGCTCTACTATGATTAAAGACTCTGCTCAGAGATATCTGGGAAGCTGACAAACCTGAAAGCTGATTTCTCCCTTTTCCTACTGGAAAAAAAGAAGGAAAAAGAAATGAAGAGAATTTGACATTTGCAGTTGTACTGTGTAACTTGCTTTCTGCTTTCTGAGCCGCACCTCCCTCCTCCTGGCCTCCCTCTCTCGCTGGCAGGACGCTCTATTTCCTCCCCGCTTTGTGGGAACGGGAAGCAGCCAGATTGTTTTGGAGCTGACTGAGGTTTAATTATTGATGACCAGCACCTCACGGAAAAGGACAGAGAAGAGCTGCAGTCGCGGACAGACGCAGGGACGGTAATGCTCATATTACTTTCATCTTTTTGCGCAACATGGTCTTAAAATTTAGCCTAAATCTGAATCCGCATTTACAGTAACGATGGCAACAAATGCCGCTGAAATAAGCCCCTAATTGATTTTCAAAGGGGTAAACATGTCAATCAGATATCATAAAGAATAACCTAGATTAATTATAAATATTAATTACCTTTTTTATTTGATTTACTTTTCTTGATGCATTTTATATTTTATTTTAAAGCAGTGCTGATGAAGCTCTTCCAGACTTTTTATAGTAAAAATGAAAGCAGAAATTATTCTCAGTAATCAACAGTGTTTGCATTTCTGTTTATGAAAGAAAAACATTTATAGAAGGGAAATTAAATAAAAGCAATGTTTACAAAACAAAATAGAAAAAAAAATATATATATAATGAATATTGTGTATTATATAAAGCTGAATTGTATTAAAATTGATATGATGGATAGTGATTTTTTAAACTAACCTGACAGTAATTAATATTGATGGTTAATATCAGGTCAAAGTAAAATTGAAACCTCATTAAAACAGGTTTCTGCAGGCTCCACGTCCTCCTGACTGCAGGCAGCACCGCCATGTTGGAGGAAGATGACGGCAGCGGCATGGCTGCTGCTAACCAGCCGCTGCTCTCCCTACATATTGCAGGTGTGCGCTTCCTGTCAGACGTTTGGAGAGTTTGGCGCAAACGGAGCGTCTGTTTGCGGCTGCAGATTGATTAAAAAAATCAAATGGTCTGTTCAGTTTTAACACCACAATTTAACTTGAAGCAATGCAGTGTGTGATTTGAAATAAATACATTAATGAAAACAAATAAAAAGCCCGTAAATATCATGGTTTAAATTGTTTTAAATTACTGTTAATGATCTCTGTTGTTTAAGAGCTTTTTTTCCTATATAGTATTTTTTTGTGCAGTTAAAAAAATCATAAAAGAAGAGCTTATCTGTTATATTTTGTCAAATTTGACCAAAGGGAGTTTTTCTTGCTTTCCTTTTAAACCGTATTGTGAGGAATGTTGCTATTTTATACAGTTCTTCTAAACTTTAATTTAAAAGTATTTTCTTAATATAAAGATGCGGAGGTTTTACTAGTTATTACTAATATTTATCTTCCTGTATAGTTTTGTTCTACGTGTTGTACTTTGTGTTCACATAATTGATTAAAATGTTTATGCTTTTATATTTTATTGAAGCGTTAAAGGCTGCCGGTTAGTCTTAGCTCCACATTTACGCAGGAAACGCTGGACTCCCACGGCTTCCAGTCATGATTAGAAGCCACGTTTCATATTTTTCATAACAGATTTAGTTGTTAAGCTGCCTGTTTTCCCCGAATAGTAAATCAGTGGTGTGTGTCTGAGAGCAACTTTAGTGTAAACATCCGAAGGAAGCTCAGGAATGTGAGAAACTTCAGAGATGAGCGACAATTAAAGCTAAAAGAGTCGGACCTCTACTTTATGGCTTTATGGCTCTTCTTTGCTCCTGTGCGTGGGGGTGCGTGTTGTTGGGGGTGAGTGTGTGTGTGTGTGAGTGTGCGCACACAGACATCGGATTTTTATGGCTTTATTGCTCTTTATGATTCCTTGTAAAGTCGAGAGATGTCGACGAAGTGAAAACAGCCGCTGGAAGCAGCAGATGGATAAATGTTCACAGGAATGCGCTCATTCACCGCTTTGTTGTTTTCATCCCAACATTATCTACTTTACGCTTTACGCTACTCGATTTACGCTTTGAAAATAATAAAAATAACTTGGGTTTTTAGATTAGTCCTAAAATGCTCCAATATATGGGGGAAATAACCTACTTAAAAAGAAATAATTCAACCAAATGCTTTAAATTAAAACCTAAATAAGTCTTTTATTTTAATAAGTTAATTTTTCTTGAATTGAGGAGGTCAGTGAGAGACTTTGCCAACGAAACAAGACATTATACATTTAAAATAAGGGAAAAAAACATTGCGTTTTCTTATTTCAAGTGCATGTTATCTAATTATCTCATTTTAAGATTAAAAATACTCAGCTCATCTTATTTACCTGCTCAAATTGAGGTTTATGCATAAATATCATTTAGGAAACTTTGATTTATTTCTACATCGTTTTTGCAGTGTATTTATAAATGCAAGAGAATTCCCACTAAAAACATTTGAAATTGAAATGACGATAAATGGCGTTTAACTGAGTTATTTTAATCAAAATAAACTCAGGGTACGATGTCATTATGTTGGTTATTACCAATCAATGCTATTAGGCAGAGGTGTGTGTGTGTTGCTGTTGGTAAGGTTTCCCTCTGCCTGACCTTTTCTGCAGTTAATGACAAACTCCCAGAAACGGCCTGACTTGAGGGTTTTTATGTATTAATTGTTTCCAGGCAGCAAAAAGCGACCGAGCGCCTCCGAACTCATGGTCCGGATCACTTCACCGGACCTTCAGCGGCTTCAGCAGCCCTGCAGCGTCACAAGCCTCCCGATGGTTAAACGTTAACGGGAGAATTAAAGCTGCTGCCACAGCTTGATTTTTTTACTCTCTTTTGAAAAGGTGAATTTCATAAAAACAAGCATATCAACCATGTTGTGTTTAGTAATGATATTACAGAATGATTATAGTGTTAGAATAGAAAAAAAAAACATTTTTCAAAGAAGGAAAGAACCACGCTGCACTTCAGGATTAGTCACAATGAACTGAAAACTATT